GTGCATCATTGTGGCCACGCCCTCAGGCACCTCGAGGCAGCTGAGTAAGCTGTCACAGTGTTTATAGTGTTTCCTGCTGTATTACAACACACACACACACACACACACACGCACGCACGCACGCACGCACGCACGCACGCACGCACGCACGCACGCACGCACGCACGCACGCACGCACGCACGCACGCACGCACGCACGCACGCACGCACGCACGCACGCACGCACACACACACACACACACACACACACACACCTACATGTATTTAAAAGGCAGTGCTGTTTAACTGTCATCACCTGCTGTCATGTTGGTGGATGAGTACTGCAGCTACTAGACTGTGCTGCTTGAAGAGAGCTGCAGTCAGCATGTGTGTGACAGCAGGGTGGAGATTCGTCTGCAGCTGCCTTTAATGGGATGATACAAGGTCAGCAGGAGGACAGAGCTTCTTCTAACCTTACGTGCACTTAACCTGTAACGGTGTAAAGGAACCAGTCGAGGCAGACAGCCACCTACCCACTCAGAGCCGGTTTCTGCTCAAAGTGTTAAAAGGAAGTTTTTCTTGCCACTGTCACCAAGTGCTTGCTCATGGGGAAATGTTGTGTCTCTGTGCATAATATTTTAAAGAGTATGGTCTAGACCTGCTCTATGTGAGAAGTGCCCTGAGAATAACTTCTGTTATAATTTGGTGATATATAAATAAAATTGTCTTACCTTGACTAGAAGCTAATGAAACATTTAATATGATGAAGGAGGGGGCTGTAATTCCTCCTGCCCATACTCGCCTTTCATCCTTCTTTGTGTTTCCATCCCTCCACTGCAGCAATAAAAAAAATATTGTATTTTTGCTAAATAAAATGACTTTAACAATGAATTGATTGTACTTTAAATCCTCCAGTTATATACAGAGTATTCAGGCGAATGTAATAAAGTGTAATAGACAAAGCGAACACTTGTCTAATCATACGTTTTGATAAAAAGCAAGTATCATGAGCCTAACACTGATCTGTAGGTTTACTGATCCCCATGAAGAAGAAAGGATCAGCGAAACACACTCATTCCTGTCATTTATGTATATATTGGATGCTAGTGAGGGTTAGTCATCTCTGCATCCTTCTGAGGACATTTTGAAAACACCAAAGTCCTGTAGCTGTGACCAGAGGCCAGTAATGAAGCAGATGACTGTAATGAGTTAGTCAGAGTCCACTGCTTCTACCCACAGGGAGAAACTCAGCTGGACAAAAGTACTCCTCTCCTCTCCTCTCCTCTGCTCTCCTCTCCTCTCCTCTGCTCTCCTCTCCTCTCCTCTCCTCTGCTCTGCTCAGCAGTGTGACTTGCCTTCATCCCTACATCCCTGATATTTGTTTTCCCACATTGCTCCGTTTTGCCATCATCAATCTAACTGACGAGGGGAGTTGCATACTAAATCTGCTCTCCTCCCTCCACACTGCAGTGTCCCTGCTTTGTTGCTGATTTGGGCCCCTCAATCCTTTTTGGTGTACAGCCTCTGCATAGATAAGGGAACGTGATGTGACTGGACTGATAAGGAGGAATCGATACCTTTATTCTGCAGAGTTTAGGGAAGGTAAGGTAAGAAGAAAGACCGAGAAATCAGATCCCTCTCTAGAGGAGTGGCGGGGGCAATGGTGTAACATGACCGTTCTTCTTGGTTAAGACATTAACACAATGGCAGCATTTAAGGACTAAACAAAGTAGTTACACGGAAGAGACATAAAAGAGGAGAGTGTATTTTCAGGTCCCTGCAGCCCACAGGTCAGAAAAGTCTGGAAAAGATGAAAACGTATTTGTGGGCCTTGAAAAGAAACTTTAGAAACTTTCAATATAATTTATATAATAAACAGTCATGAAATACTACTTGTAATATACACTGTACTTTTGCTATAATTGCTGTTATTTAATGGATCTAGCAGCTAAATTAAAGCGTGTAATATCAAATGTTCTGGCACTACAGCACCTGCTTGAAAGGAGAAAGAAAAGCAGTCTCAAAAACTCCAAACATACCTATAAAAAGTCCTCAAACAACTCTCATTTTACACTTTTTTTTGTACAGATTAAACAAATGAGATAAACCTGTAGGGAGCCTTAGATGTGCTTGTAGGTGGGTTTTGTTTCCTATGGACAGAGCCAGGCTAATACAAAAATACATATGTATATATATTTAGTTTACAGACATTAGAGTGGTCTCAATCTTCTCATCTAACTCTCAGCAAGGCAGCAAATGCAGGCGTCTCCTAAAATGTTGAACTGTTCCCTAAAGATCAACTCTATCATCAGACTGACAGTAAAATTGTTCTAAATACCACAAGTCTTGTTTTGACACTTTAAAAGTATTAGATATAAACATTGTCCTGCAGACGTCATCCTAAATGTTTTAATGTAAAGAGGGAAAACACAGATACACAAAAAACTGGTCCAGTTTCAAGACATGGAATTGTTGTGAACCCCAGTAGAGAGACAGAGAGAGAGAGAGAGAGATACAGGAGAAACATACTGGTTGAGGAGTAGACCCTTTGTGAGTTTGTGTGTTTTGGGGATTATTAGAGTCTCAGCTTCTACACCAGATATTGATTAGTAACCTAGTTAACAGCTTCCTTAAGGCAGGTCTGCTGTATCTTTGTGTGTAGGTTTATAGTTTTAACTGTTGCTGTAGCAGACGTTTCTAAAAATCCACTTGGAACAGCTTCACAACCATCGCTCCATCACGCTATGATCTGTTTTCTCAGTCTCATGCGTTCTCTGTGTTTTGTCTCGTTCATATCCTCCATCGCCTCCATGTTTGTTTTTATTTTTTACCAACAAAACATGCTGCCCTGCCTTGTGTGCTTCTCTCAACAACAGAAAACAGAAAGAAAAGCATACGAAAAAAAATCTGTTTGTTTTAAAAAGTGAAAGAAATGCAAGAAGGATATTGAGGAACGAATGGTATGAGGCAAGTTTTACTGAGCCTCAGCGGGAAAAACAGTGGAGAGTTGTGACTGAAGCTGTGACGGTTCGGTGCACTCGACTGGCTTTTCTTCACACCTCACAGCCCTCCTGCTGTCCTTTAACCTTCAGGCAGAGGACGCAGACACTGAGAAGTAGTCAGAGAGAGAGAGAGATACATCCCTCCATAGGCAAACACTAAACATGAATATTCAAAAACCTGATTCCAGAGAAGAAGAAAAAATGTGGCTGGTGCAAGAAAATCAATCATCATCAATCAAATTATGTTAAAATATGATAAGTGACAGTGAGTGAGTTTAGTCAAAGTTAGTTTGATAAATGTCCACATGATGAACCAGTTTAAACTGAGCTGAAGGGTCAAGATAGAAAACAGGACTGAAGTCGGTATGGAGAACTGGATTCATCGGTGAATCACAAGATGTTTTCTTCAACTTTATAGTGTTTAATTACATTTACAACGGTGCATATAGCTATACAGTGACACTGGACAAAGTTTCCACATGGTGCAAGCACAAAAACGCTCATCACTAACTCAATCATCACTAACTCAATAACTTTTTAGGGCATCCACCAATAAAAATATGAACATTGTAATTTCTCCAAACTTCACTACTAGACTGGAAATTACTATTAAAATGATATTCTGTACTCTCACTGCCAGTATCTTCACACAGACAGTGGTCAGCAGTTACAGATTTTATTATTACCCACAAAATAACAAAAGTGTATTGGCTTCAGTAAATTTCTATCCATCAATCCATTTTCTGCTGCTTATCCGGGGTCAGGTCACAGTGGCAGCAGGTTAAGCATCGCAGACTGGACGTCCCCGGCAACATTTTCCAGCTCCAGCCAGGCCAGATGAGATGTATAATCTCTTGTACGTAGATCGACTGGTAAATCGAAAGCTTTGCATTCCGGCTCAGCTCCCGCTTCACCACAATGGTCCGGTACAACACCCGCTTTACTGCTGGCGCCGCACCGTTCCCCATGTCAATCTCTCGCTCCATCCTACCCTCATTCGTGACCAGGACCCCGAGATACTTTATACACTTTATTCTGTGGGTATATACATTCCAAGGAAGGTTCCTGAAGAGAACTGTAATTAAGGGGAAAACCTTGATGAAGCAATTTAATTTAAACTCAAATGAATATTTATGAATTATTCCTTTATTATTGGATATTTTATTCTTCATGCTTGTTTCATTATGCTTGCCTGTAGACAGGTTTTTGCGTCTTCAGCTGACCTGCCACTGACTAGAAGACTCTATCTTATGCATGCAATTAATTAGAATTAAATAATTGAAGTGTACTAATTAAAGGCTGTCTCTACTTTCTCCATACTTGGGACCAAATCACAAGGTTCTGTCCAGGAAACTTCAAGGAAATTACAGATCTGTTAAATGAAGCATTACTCTAAAAGTCAGGTGGTGTCCTGACTCTGGAGTTACTCTTGTGTCATCCACCTAAAGAGGCACCTGGCCTTGACACCAAAGACCCACTTCATCAGATTATACAGCCCCAGATTAATTTGACGAAGTGCTCCTGGGTAATTTAGTTGTTCCGATGTAATCAGCAGTGTGACAGACGCTTCATTTAAGACCATATATCAACTTTCACTTCCAAGGTGATACTTTAATTTGGCAACTGAAGGGGAAAAGAGAAAGAAGATTAAAAGTATGGAGGACTAGGACTCTTCTGTCACCTCAGATCTTAATGTCTTCTTTTTTGCCATGACTTAGATCCGATGTACGTATGTGTGTCATGTGTAACCTCATTGCTAATTTAGGCACACACAGGACAGGTTGTATTTCAACTGAATCATCAGTAGGTACCAACAGCTAACACCTGCAGTCTGTCACACCTCCATTAGAGCTGACCATGACCTCTGACCTTGCTGATGAGGGAGGAAGCTGACAGGACAAATTTCTCTTTTAGTAAAAGTATGAGAGAAATATAGACGCTTATCCCTCATTTCTCGGACAGGAAGGACACACCTATACGAACACACTCACCATTTCTGTGTACATGTCTGTTTTGCAGAGCGGCAGAACCACGCCCGAGAGCTGGTGAAAGAGGCCGACCTGTCTCAGTGGAGCGCTTTAGTCATTATGTCAGGAGACGGACTTCTGCACGAGGTAAAGAGAGACATGCCGTACATGTTCACTATATTCACATCCAAACTCACGACTGTGTGGATTTAGGTCAGAACAGTTGGAGTGAACGTCACAGACTTCTGTCATCATTTTAAACCAAATGTCTGTTTCCTGCTGTTGTATATAAAGATGAATGTTATGTTGCATAAGTTCATGAAAATATTACATTACTATAAACCTGAAGGGTTATGGTTACAAATAGATATGAAACAATGATTAAATTAGATGATCGACAGAAAATTAAACAGCAACTCTTTTAATAATTGAAGGCTAAATATCTTTGGGTTTTAGACGGTTGGTCAGACATGAGCAGTATGGTATCTGGTATTTCATAGATCAGAGTAAATGTCAGATGCAGTTCTATATATAAATATAATAGTTTGATATGTTTTACATTTATAAACTAGCCTTTGTTATTATGGTATGGGTGGTTAAAGTTGTATCGTCCGTGAACACTGCTCAGAGTGCAGTGTGAGGTAAATTCAACATTTGTTCCTCTGTTATACTAGTGCAGCCTAATACTTGATTTTCAGAACTGTAATTCACAAAAAGTTTTCAAAACTTTACTTTTAGAAATTAGACTTATTTTGTTAAATGAAAGAATTTTGTAGAAAAGCATGTTTATTTTCTTCAGAGGTCAATACAAACAGAATTTAAGAGTCTAAAATTGTCAAAATTATGATTTTAATCAGTAGATATCTGATGAAAAAGGTGTTGTCACTTCTGTACCATAACAGTGTTGAGATTCGATACTCAACCCTGCCTGCTGCGTCATAGCTGCTGTGTCTAGTTTCTTCTGTCACTTATAGAAAATATTAATTTGTATTTTTATGTGTCCGCCCAATTAAAGATGTATTTTCTGTGTCTCTCAGGTGATAAATGGTCTGCTGGAGAGACCAGACTGGGAGGACGCCATCCAGACCCCGCTGGGTATCCTTCCTGGTGGATCAGGCAATGCCTTGGCTGCGTCCATACACCACTACTCTGGGTGAGCCACATGCAGAATGATGAATAAAACCAAACATCAGCACATTATGTGTAGATCTAACCTGCGCTGTGGAGATATGTTGGGGTACTTCTGATACTGAGTGTCTCAGGGCTGCTCACACACAGCTCTGGCTCAGTGAAGCATCACTAGATTTGCTGGAGAAGAGCTTCAGTGATTAATCGATTAGTGGCTGGTTCCTGCTTCTGAACTGCGTGATAGTAAATCTGAATTTTGTTGCTGAATTTGGACTGGAAATAAGGGGCACTTTTCACAATTTTCGCTAAAGTAAATGGCAGATTAATCAATAGTGAAAATAATTGTTATTTATTGTAGATGAGAACATCAACTTGTAAAAAATATCATCTGCATTGTAACATCATTATTCTGTCAAGAATTGCCTTCAACAGAGCTCCACAGAAACCAGTCTGACCAGTTAGGTGACATACTGATTCGTAGTTTCAGTCAAACAGTTGTCAAGGATTTTCTCCAAAACTTTCAGCTTATCCCCCGTCAGACAGAGCTACCTGTGCTCTGTGAAAGACTGGAGCAGACACAAGAAACTGATGTAGCTGTCAGTAAAAGCAGTGCAGAATGTACAGTGGGAGCTTTGCTGACAAGGACGTGCTGTGTGTAAAGGCCATAATCCCCTTGAGTCTGTTGTACTTCGGCAGAGCCTGTAATACTGATGGTGCAGTGTCTCAACTGTCCTATTATAAAAACAGGTATTTCTGCTGCTCCAGCTCCAGACAGAACTACTGGCTAACATCTGATTAAAAAAAATCAGATGTAGCATATAACTATAACCAAGCCTCAGACACACACGGTTCTGCTCCCTGGTGCTCTTCAGTGTAAAATGCACTTATCTCATCTGTATTAATTATTAATGATTAGCTCATTTGAGTTTGGAGATCATTCAACCAGAACAAAGAACAGAGAGAAGAAGCTGAAGGGCTTAAAGAGAGGAGGAGAGAGCAAATGAATGAATGAACAATATCTGATCTCATGAGATTCAGAGGTAGATAAGCTAATGCTGTGTCTGCCTCATTTACTCATAGACTTTTCTTTATATTATATGCAGTCTGTGGTTTATTTTATAGTGATCAGTAAATTCTCATTTCAGACTTGTAGGATTGTTCATAACTGTGTTTATATATATATTTATTTATATATTTTAGAGCATTATACAGTTCATACATTTGCATCAGATTTTGGGTACTAAATGGCAGAGGGTAAATATAGTGCACTATATATTAAATAGTGGGTGATTTTTAGATCAATATATTTGATATTAGAGCTGCAACTAACAATCATGTTATCACTTAATCTGCAGATTATTTTCTCAATTAATTAAATAATCACATTGTCTATAGAATGTCATAAAAAAGTGGAAAACTACTGTGAACAGTCCGTCATCAATAAAAAGATTGGGGTGTCCTTGTGGTTTACGGTTTAATACAACAGCCTTGACCCTGGTTCAAGTCAGGTTGGAGACCTTTGTTACATCTCTCTGCCTCATTTCCAGTCACCTTCATCTACTTTGTGAAAAAGATATAAAATGATGAACACATAAAATTCTCCGATTCATATAAGTAGCCTCGGCTAACCTTCATGATAATCTAAAGTTTAAACAATATTTTAATCATAAGAGTTGCTTTTTAGTGGTTGCGATACGAAACCAGCGAGTCTCAGTTAAACACCCTGTAGAATTACTGGCAGTTTTTCATTATTGTCAGTTTTTCTTACCTTCTCTGGGATTCATGCAACAGTTTGCAGTAACTCCCTGAACCAGGATACATGAAGTCATCAAGTCATTGGCTTCGTATGTTACTCTTAACTGTCTGGGCCATTGGTGAGTACAGGGCCATGAGACATTTGCTAACCTGCTGCAGGGAAACAATATGATTTGGGGAAAAAAGAGTTGAATATTGATTATCAAACTTTTTAGGCTCTTATAATCTTTTTCTGCAATAATTACGTTGGTCTTTCCTCGTCACGACCTGTGATGCCCACAACAGGACAGTGATTTTGATCTAAAGGGTCATCACTCCGTGATAACCATTTTGCTGTTACTGTCACCTAGTGAACATGAGTACAAATCAGAATGAGATTGAGAGCTCGTACGAGATTCTTCAGACTTAGCATGTCGTATAGCATCCATATGTTTGACCTTTTTTTCCAGCTGTGAAACCCTGACAGTTGAAATGATCCGTGGTGCAAAAAAGGTTACGGACCCCTGCATAAATTTGCTTTTACATTTGTTAACAGTGTGGAGACTGTTACTGGCTGTGTTCTGTGCCCTTTCTACTCTGAAGTCACCTGGTGTCACGAGGAAATGAAAAACCTCAACCTTTAAGCTGCTCCTACTCTTTGTAGGTCGCTTTAAGCTTTATCTTGCCCTTTTGTTGTTTCATTTATTTTTTTATGTCATTTTGTATCTGTTTGGGATTTTTGACCCCTGACTAAATCAAGGCTAAGTTGAATAAATGAACAATAAAATGAAATGAAGGAAAACATCTCACACTGATGGTTCTGTCTTCACCAAAGAGCCACATTCATTCATCCCTTCGACTGCATCTGCCAATCAGCTTCTCATCAAACAATGGTCTTCCAGCCGGAGCGGCAGCAACAATGAGAGGAAGAGACCAGACTCTGTATTGTTTACTCTCCTCTCACACTCCCGGGGCATCCAGAAAACATCTCTCTCTCTCTCTGTGTGGTTGCTGCAGGCTGTCCTGCAGTGGCCCTGGCCAGAGTGTATTTGGTATTATTCCCAGCTGAATGTAGGGTTCACAGAGGCTACGTGGATCAAACGAGTGACAGCCAGAATGTATCTGGTATTATGCAATGCAGTGAACAAGTTCGCTGAGTGAGGGTTTAATGTGTTTCCGTACACAAACATAATGAGCACGAGCTGGAACATCATCTGCAAGGCTGAATGCTGGTGGTTTCTGAAGTGACAGAGGTGACACTTCGATGTGAGGGAGAGTCTCCCTCCCCTGGTGGTTTACAGGCACTGCATGAAAAGCTTAAAATATGGATAGGATCTTGAGATCCCTCACTTAAGTAAAACTACTGGTAAAACAATGTAAAAATACTCCGTTACAAGTAAAATTACTGCATTCAAAATCCTGCTGAACTACAAGATCTATTCCCAGCAAAGTGTACTTAAATTATCAAAAGTACAGATAATCTTCAGTCAGAAAAGTCCCCTGTGAGTGAGATGTTATTATAAATGACATAATTCTTCAATGCATAAGCAGCATTTTACTGCTGTAGCTGGTCGAAATGCAGCCAGTTGAACTACTTTATTCACTGTTTGGTACTTTAGTTGAGTGGTTCCCAAACTGTGTGTTCAGACAGAACCTGATGAAAATTTTGGAGGCGGTGCAATTGCATTACTTGAGTTGAAAATCATTACAATTTCAGCAAAACATCAAACCTGAATATAAAAGAAAAAAACTGTTTCTGATGAGTTCTGAGTTCGGTCGGTTCTGCCTTTGCTGGCTAGCTCACGGCTAACATCTGAAAAGCTGTTACACTGGCTGTTTGGAGTGAATACAAACAGTAACGTGGTCAAATTTAGGCAAATGAAAGGCAAAGATTCCCTTTGCTTTCCATGTCAACACACCTTAAGAGTCACTAGATAAATCTGTGGGATCGTGAGATGATTAGAAAACAAGAGATTCTGCTATACAAATTCATATGAATTTTTCAGACATTTCTATATATTCATATATATTTTATATATATATTTTTTTAATATTGGATAATTTGACCTTTTCTGGCCTTGAACAGTGTATCTACATAAAACCGTGTGTGACATTAAAGGGGCAAAGCTTTTTTAAGTGGACCTCTAGATATCTCATGGGCATTTGAAACTTGACAAGGTGCTCTAAATAAACAAAAAAACTTTTTTGGAAGAGGTCTCAATTCAGACGGGTCGGAAACCACTGATTTTATCTTAAATCAGAAACAAATGTGTTTGTTTCACAGAAAAAGTTCTTCTTAAAAGTAAGTATTTTCAGTGTCAGATAAAGGTAGTGGAGTAAGAGAATAAAGAAGCATTAACTGGAAACACTTAAGTAAAGTGAGTAAATGTACTTAGTTACTTTCCACCAGTGATGATACAGACACTGGACTGTGAGTGGAGGCAAGCTGTAGGTCTTATTATATCTCTCTTCTTACTAGACAATGATTAGACAGAAACAGATCCGAGGAAATGTATATGAGATTGTTTGGATGTCCAGACTGGTGAATGTATTCAGGATGATGAATATGTAGAATATCTGCAGGGCCACAGCCAGCGAACTCCACCGAGACGTCCAGTCATCACTGTAATTGGCTGTGGGTGGTAACAGCAGGCAAATCTGTGTGTGTGTGTGTGTGTGTGTGTGTGTGTGTGTGTGTGTGTGTGTGAGTGTGTGAGAGAGAGATGGGGGGTGTTATCATGACCTTCCACCTCTGTCTCCATTCTCCCAGATGGGGTTGTCTTTGTTGTCTGACTGGCCTGTCATGTCTGAAGGCCCATAAGCTGATTCTGTCCCACCTCCAACATTTGTCCCCGAGCCTCTTGGTTTATTGAACCCACCCCCCTGAGTCACCATACCCCCTTCACCCTCATCCGTCTCCCTTCATAGCTCCATGGGGCTCCACCCTTCTCATCTACCTCTTCTCTCCCCTCTGTATTTTTCTGATTACACAATAAGGTCACAGTTACTCTGGTATTGTGTAACACTTCTCTTATAGCTCACTCCCCAAAACACACACACGAGCCTTGACCCACTTACTAACCCAAAAATATTAAGTGCACCTTGCAGTTTCTATTTTTGAAGCTAGGTTTTTAACTGTATCTGCTCCTAGAGGACTGGTGTATGGCTGAAACGATTAGGCAATTAATTGTTTATGAAGAAAAAGTGCAAAAGAAAATTAGCTCTTTGCTGCTTTTACCTGGTTATATTTATTTCTGTAAATTACATGTATTTAGGTTTTGGACTGTTGGTTGGACAATATGGCTTATTTAAAGACATACCCTGAGATGGAAGTAATTCTGTGGTGCCTGTTGTTTCCTTTTAAAACTAGAGCTGCACGTAGCGGCTCTGCGCTGTAGCAGCAGTCCAGACAGAAGCATGTTATTAATATTGGTTGTGGTTGTCACAATTTCTTTCTTTCCTTCTCTCTTTCTTTCTTGGGTTAGGTGTGGTGACAAAAATTTTGCTACAACTCTTCAGTGACATTACCTGCACCAAAGCAACACTGTTTTTCAGTTGAGGAAACGATCTCACCACTAGTGTCATGAGGTGGATCATTTTCTCAACTGTTGTTTTTCACGCCATGCAAGTACATGTCTTTGTTTGAAGGTTAAAACACACTTTTTTTTCTATTTAGCAAAATATGTCAAATCACTCATGCGTCAGTTTAAAATAGGGTGAGCTTTCTCATTACACAACAGTCTGACCAGCTTCATTCATTAAGTTTTGGCACTAGTGCTAGTTAGTACTGAAGCTACATTCTCAGACATATTTATTAATTATCATATAATCTGAACATATTACACAATTAATTTACAACAATCACATTTAGCACCTTTTAGTGACAGAGAGAATGACAGATAAAAAGGCAATTCAAACACCTTTCACATGTAATTTATATGAGCACGACTTTAGATAGCCTTTGAAGGCAGCACAAGATGAACTCTGTGGTGTTAGGGAGTTCAGCTCTGCTTGTTGTGACTAACTCTCATCTCTGCTCCTCCAGAGCTTCTCCGGTGTCCAGTGAAGATCTCCTGGTCAGCTGTGGTTTCCTGCTCTGTAAAGGACTGGTGTCCCATATGGACCTGGTCTCCGTCCATCTCTCTTCCAGCCCTCGTCTCTTCTCCTTCCTTTCTCTGGCCTGGGGCTTCGTCGCAGACGTGGACGTAGAGAGTGAGAAGTACCGTCACGTAGGAGCTGCCAGGTTCACTGTGGGCACGCTGGTGAGGCTGGCTTCTCTCCGCGTCTACAAGGGCAAGCTGGCTTACCTGCCCGCCACCAAGGACTACAGCAACGAGAGAGGTTTGAGAAACAACAAGACGCTGCACTGCAACTATCAGGCTTCCTCCCTGAGTCCAGCCTCTCTGCTGTGCCGCCAGTCCAGAGACTCTCCCTGCAAGAACACCTTCCACAACTCCTGCCACTCCAACAACTCCCTCAAAGTGCGGAGGAGAGAGAGCACGCCTTCCAAAAGCGCCACCAAAGCTGTCCCCGGCCCATCTGACTCCCTGCTACTGCCCCTGGAGCAGCCACTGCCCAGCGACTGGGTGGTGGTCCAGGAGGAAGACTTTGTCCTCATGCTGGCCATGTACCAGTCCCACCTGGCAGAGGACCTGCTGGCAGCACCGGACGCCACCTTGGACGACGGCGTCATCCATCTTTTCTACGTCAGAGCAGGAATATCACGCACCGCTCTGCTGAGGCTGTTCCTAGCTATGGAGAAAGGCACACATCTGGCGACTAATTGTCAACATCTGGTTCACACTAAGGTGCGGGCGCTCAGGCTGGAGCCGTATTCACCCAAGGGGATAATAACAGTAGATGGAGAAGTGGTGGAGTATGGGCCGGTGCAAGCAGAGGTGCACAGAGGTTTGACAAGATTAATCACTGGATGAACTTAATGAACAAACATCACCAGCTTTCATCTTTGCTTTTAAAGGCTGATGGCGTTTAATAAACAAATTTTAGCATTTCAAATCAGAAATGAACAGGTACAGCAGCAAAGCAATGGATGTAAGACTCATTCACTTTTATCTGCAATGTTGTGCTTTCAGCGGTACACCCATGTTTTTATAGAAGATGCTGTGATGTTCGATGGGATATTACAGCCAACAAGTGCCGTGTATGGAGACCCAAAGTGTCCAATATTTGATAAATGAATAAGGATGAATAATCATATGAATAAATGCAGAAAAAATATGAAATATAACTATGAAATTGTAACAAAATTAAATTAATCATTTTTTAATATGAAATGTTATTTAATCCCACTTCTTTTCACAATAAGAGGATGTATTGCAGGTATTATTATTTTAAATTGTTCTTTGATCAAAATGTGTTTTTATTTCCAAACACACATATTGTTTCACACAGTCTTTATCTTTCAATCAAGACAAACAGGGCAGAACCAGTTATGTGGCTTCTGTCTCAATAACCAGAAAGACGTAAGAGGCTCTGACTGGTTTGTGTTGACTGACAGTCAAAGACTTTGTTACAAACCCACGGAAGCCCTGAAATAATATATATATTTACGGTAAAGATATTACCTTAAAAAGAAAACAAACTTCTTAAGTCATTGTCTTGTGCACACAAAATAATAAAAAATCATCTCTCAGGGGTTCCGTACGCAGCAGACTAAACATTTAAGGCCATTTTATTATATTAAATTTAGATTCTAATGAAATAATTTTGATTAACAAGTTGCAATCTGCTATGCATGTACATTTTACAACCAGCCAATCCAAGAAAACTGCTGGAATAGTGGAAATGACCTGCAAAATACTCTGTTAGTGTGAAAAGAAAATATGCAATTTCATAATGATGAGCTGAGATTTAGAAGTGTACTGTATTATTTTACAATTTAATGCCTATCTTTATTTAATATTTAACACTTTGGTGTCTCCATAGCCACAACTGAACGTACTGTAGTAGTAGTGTTAGCCTCACTTTACAGACAGACACATACAGAGTCACATTTCATCATCTCATGATGAAGTGTTTAGCCTCCATGGAAATAAATCCATCACCATCTTTAGCCTACAGTATCTCATCTTGTTTATCGCTGCATGGAAAGCATGTCTTCTCTGTCCTGAATCTGACATGCCAGCTTGAATTACAGCATCTTATGCAACAGCTAAGGATTGGATTTATGCCTTCACAGCTCCTCTGCGGAACGATGGAGACAGTTTGTGTGGAGTGTGTGGAGTCATTGCCCTGGTTTGAACAGAGGTGATCAGGCTTTGTGACTGTTTATTGAAAACACAGGGTTATTGGTAGTTGAGTCTGAGAGGATGGTGCTCATCTACTCTGCCACGGCACACTGCTGAGTAATGTGGAGGAAGATGTACCTCCAGTTTGTGCTGCAGCAGAGATAAAATGAATCCCAGGAAGGCATATTGTGTAATACATCATTAAATGTAACTATTTATATTTAATTTATTACCTCACATCAAGGCTGTTTGGGAAGGTCCCACTGTTTGGTCACCAGACCAGTACTGTTTCAGATTTGTTGCCTTAAAATCACGTTAGCGTCAACTTTGTTTCCTAAACCAACCATGTTACCTTAATTTCACTTGACAACAGAATCATTTCCGTCACTCCACTTCTTTTATCTTCCGTTTTTTATATCTTGATTTTATTCTCATATAAACAAACAACTCGTTAAAAGCAGCAGTGAAATGAATGTGAACAGCGAGACTTAAATGTATTTAAAGGGTCACTTCAGTATTTTCATTTTCTTATTAACCTCTAGTGGCATGTAGACATTTACAAAATTTTTTTGGTAAATTTATTTTATTGGGAAGAGATTTGCAGCATTAAATAATAATAGTAACAATTAATTTACAATGATGTTTCCATCATTCACTCCCAGTGGAGGATTCATTTCTAGTTCTAGATCTTTACTAGAGCTCAAAGAAAATACTGAGCCGTTAATCCAGCTATTCATTGCACTCTGTGTAATCACAGGGTTCATTTAATTGGTTGCTGACATTTCTCCTGCCCCTGTGTGTCAGTGGCTAAAATCAGTGACCACTTTATTGGCACTAAAAAGAGAAGAAGAAAAAGAAAAGAAATCCTTGAACTGAAGTAGATGCAGCTATGACGGTTTGAAGTGGTGCTCCAAAAAAAGACGAGCTGAACGTCATAGATTGACAGTAACTGTGTGAAAGTGTTCAGTGGCTGCAGCTCTCGGCTGACTGATGTGCTCCACAGCTGCATCCTAACATACTACTCGTCTTCTTCTTCCTTCTCTCCTGCTTTCACCCATTCAACTGCTGCTCTGAGTACTGCAGTGCTCTGCAGAGCAGTCCCAGGCCTCAGCTGCTTTTCAGACACACACACACGCAGACAGACTCTCAGTGGGGCATTTATTAATAACCATCACCTAGGTGTCCTTACCATTGAGCTTTAAGTCACATGGAGGAAATGATGACTAAGTGTTCTGGCCTACACATGTTAATCCAAATAGAAAAGTTTAGTTTCGGGTTGAATGAGTTATGTTTAATTAAATTAACAAATATCTTATCTGGACACAAATTTTCTCTGACTGTATAATAGTCAACGTGAAATGTACTATAGGTGCTGCCTTAAACGGTGGGTTTGGGGGTTAAAGCTGGTTGAAACAGCACATTAGTAAGTGTGTGGAGAAAGACAGAATAAAAGGAGGGAGGAGAGAGAGAAGGGTATCGACTTGTTAAATGCTGCATGAGGGAGTGGCGTTGTGTTTCTGACAGGGCGCCCTCATTCTCCCTCCTCACCACAAGAAATCATTTGGGAGCATTAGCGAACTGTTCTGACGCTGTGAGAAAAAGAGGAGGGTGTTTCTACCTGATGAACGAACACACAAACACAGTAACAGTAAAATTAGGGAACCTGAACCATTATCTGGTTTTAAAGATGATATCTGTTGATTTAAATATGAACGAGGAAGGTCTGATTGTGAAGCCTTGATGTGCCTGTTTTTATCAACATGCCACGACTACGTTTGACACTGTAAAGAAGTGATTTATTATGAAAGACCAACATTTATTTCTTTTATACATGTTTCTGCACAATATAAGTTTGTTGCCAATGACTTTGAGGTCATTAAACAGGCGTTAATTTCGTTAAATTATGTTTACTTATGACAACATGTGTTCATCTGAAAATTGAGAAGCACATAAGATGGAAACAGTACTTGAAAACATGCTTGTTGCGCTTTGCTTTTGCTGCTTTAGTGGACAAATGTGGTCTGTGGTAACAAAACCTTAGATTTTCCTGCTGAAATTGTTGCATCTGAAAAAAAGGTGTAAAATTATCCAATAATTCATCAGAAGAATGAGACACCAACAGTTTTTTGTGTTTTCAGTTGTTTTTTCCTGGTTGGGAACCACAAGTTTGTTTTCTTCTTATTTTTACACCACAGAGAGCTACAGACCACTTTCATCTTTTTTTGCTATGCAAAGTCAGATTTGTTGAGTGAAGCAGCGGTCCATTTATCTGTTTGATGTGCCTTGATTGTGCTGCCTCCTGCTGGTTAGAACTTGGTGGTGCATCCACTGATTTACCATTTGCAACTGGCTGAATTTGAAAGTCAACTAATTTTATCATCACTGTTTTTAAATCTGATACGCTCAGAGGAACAGACAAAAACTAAAGACTGAGTCAAAAGAAATCATCTGTACTCTTGTCAGAAACTGTTTAATAACGAGACCAAGGTGCCGCCTCATCATGTAATCTTCAGCATTTCTTCTCATCAAGGAGAAGAAACTGGAGTGAGTCCAGCTTCTCTCTGCAGGCCAGTGTGATTGAAAGTCAGTTTGTCACAGGTAAATCAGACTAATAAAACAAAATAGGAAGAAAGACCTGATGTACATTCCTCTGTCAGAAACCTGGAGATAGAAGAAACTCACTTTCGTCCGACTGTTGATTTGCCGATTGTCTTTATCTGCTGCTTCTGAACTGTTGTTGTATTGTGTGTTTAAATGTTTATGGTGAAGGGAAAACTGTTTTTATTTTTTCTTGCACACTGAAGATTGAATGATTCTTTATTCCAAGAGAGATCTATTTTTCCATTTAGACAAATGTCTGTAATTTTCTATCATCAAATCGAACATTCTGCTGGAGTGTTTTTGATCAAAAAATGAAATAAATGATGACAAATAACCTGTCTGAGATTTGGTTTATGAAACTTTTGCTGCGTCTGCTTTTGGGACACTAATATAAAGTGCTTTCTTTGATGCTGCTAGCTCTAAACATCAGAGCAGTTTTTGGCCTTGATGTGTATGTTCACAGTTTCTCACAAGGGCGTAGGTTTGCTTATGGATCGGACATGTCCCTTCCAATATTTTGGAAGGACAGAATTGTCCCTACCAATATTTGAGTGAACTCGTTCGCACTATGTTTGGAGTGAAGTCATATTAGATCATTTCAATGTGCCCTCCAAGAGACTATATTTCTAAGATAACTGATTTAGGCATGCTAGCATTTGATTTACTAAAAGGGCGGGGTCTATCTGGAGGCTCACATCATGTGAGAATGTCACAGTGGTACCTAACATTACCAAAAAAATGTCAGCTGATGTTATTTAGCCATGTTAGCTAGCGTTAACCAGCAAGCTAACACAGGCATCTGTCTATTTTCAGGTTGCGAGCAGGAGTAAACAAAGGGGTGGGTATATCAAAGTATAAGTTTAATTTCTATCGAAAAATCCCATGAAAATGTCATCATGAATACTGTGACTTTTTTATGCCTTACTATATTGTGTTTTTTTAAATAATTTTATTCCTTTCTATACTATGACATCTTCATGCCATACTATGATTTGTTTTATGACATATATTGACATTATATGAAATACTATACTATGACATTTTTTTTTTAAATGCTATGCCTTATTATACTATGATGTTTGTTGACATTTTCATGAGACACTATACTATGATTTCTAATGACATATTATACTACGAAGTTTTTTGAAATTTTTGTGCCTTACTATATTGTTTTTTTTTTAAAACCATACTACACTATGATGTTTTTATTCCATACTATACTATGACTTTTTTTGAAAATTTAATGCCTTAGTATACTATTACATAAATTGACATTTATATGAAATACTATACTATGACGTATATTGACATTTTTATGACATACTATACTATGATGTTTTTGACATTTCCATGCATTTGTATACTATGAAGTTTTATTTGACAT